GTGGCTCCTGAAGGCAATGGTGGCCTTTAGATAGTGTCGCCTGTGAGATCATAGGAGGCGTCAAATTGCATTCATTAGATATGTCATTTTCATCAAAGTCAATTTCATATTCTCGTTCACGTGTAATACCTACGTGCCACTGATGATTGTGAGGTAGGGTGCGTCTAAGGTTGAAACAAATCAAGAATTATAGTAATTTCTCTTTCTTTTGTGCATACTCATTTAGGTTGTAGCAGATAGATGTAACTATGCTTGAACCTGGCGATAGAATTCCACCTCCACTCATCTCTTCATCCACCCAAGTCTTTTCGCCTACTTTGTTGTCGCTTGATGCTACTTTGATAGGCTGTCGTGGTTTGGCGAGATAAATCGTGGTTATAGGCTCCGATGCGTTCTTTGGGCCCTGAGTAGTGATTAGTTATAAATGTGCGCCATCTGCAGCCGCTTCCTGTACCCTCACTTTGCTTGTGCTTTTAACAAATTCTGTAATATTGTTTATGAGGGCACTGTTCAACGTTTTTCATTTTGATGAGAGGTCGGTTGCGGCTGTCTCAACAACGTTGCGATGGCTGATAGATTTGATGGTTATAGGCATTCATGATGATTCCTTTTCATCCTCATTCTTCCTCTGTCATCCAGCACGCACTTCACGAACGTCAGTACCTGATGTGTTGTCCTTTCTAATAAGACTTTTCTATTGGTGATTATCGTAGAAAATTTTAGTTTAAATGATTTCTCCTTCACGTGTGTTTGTTTGCTAGATCCTGGTTTCGACCATGTTTTATCTTATTTCCACTTTTATGGGAGGTAATTATTTCGAATTGCCTGTTTCGAAAGTGATACAGCCACATGGTGGCGCGCGAATGTCACCCGCTTCTCCTCAGCGGGAAGCTGATCCAGCTTGCACATCCCACCATCTTTTTCGCGTTTTTCAGTGGTTTCGTCTCCCGCTTTCCCTACCGCACCCCGAATTGGCTGCACATTCCCTCTATCTCGTCATCGGTTATGTTAAGGAGTCACTTTGTCCTTGTACCTGCAACTCTTTAGCGTTGATATGACCTAAGCGCTAAAAAGTAGGAGGGGGCTAAAGGGAATTCTCTAGGACCAAGCTAGGAAGGGCAGGAACTTCTGGTAAAAGGAAATTGCTCGCAAACTCTAGAGACTCCTCATCGCCTGAGGATTAATCCCGATTGCAACAAAAGGAGATGTTTTTTGTAGTTTCAAATCATTGCCACACAGTGATCCCGTATCTTGTATAGCACCGATTAGAGTTTTGATAACACACTCGTTTGAATGCTTCCTGTTTCTAATGAGGATCGGTAGAGTCTATAAGCGCGATGTGGTCCGCTAGGACAGGTAGCGACTTCTCCGCTCTCTACAGCGCGAGCTCTTTTTTTCGCTTTTAGAACCCCACGGGCCATATCTTAACTTTTCCCGCACGGCTATGGGGAACAAAATCTCTTTGAATTTTCTCTATCTTCTCATCAAGAAATGATCTGAATATTTGTAATCTGTACATATTCGTATAAGAAACAAGTATGCCCGGAAAATAAAAATCTGGGTTTTTCCGAAAACATGAATTCGAAGGGCTCTTTCGTTGTTCCACTTCCTTGCGCTCTTCACTGCTCAATATCCCTCCCCCTTCCAAAACATGGAGCGCTTTTTCGAAACGGTTTTGTGCATGTTGTATGGGCTCATGCGAGGAATACAGCCGTAATTCTTTTCCTGAACATCCCCAGGAATGTCAGAAAGTGGTTAAGAAACGGCTCAAATTTCGATACTCGGTGATGAATAATTTTTGTAATATAGTTTGGTGCCTCCAAATTGCCGCCAAATGGTGCCATCGTCGAGAATAGATGCAATTGCCGTGTTTTGCGGCGATGGAGGCGCCAACATAAATTGCAAAAATTCATCATCACGGAGCATCAAACTTTGGACCATTCCCCGCTGTTTCGGCATTCGGGCGTTCAGGACAAATGGATCATTATTCTATGTTCCTCACATGAGTCTCTACAACATTCAGAAAACCATTTTGAAAAGCACTCCGTGTCCTGAAAGACCGTCCTTGTTACACTTAAGGAAGAATATCCGGTCCTTAGCCTAGGATCGCTTTTTTGCTCTATTTTAGGCTGATTTAGCAGGTTTTTATTTTAAATGGTCTCGAAATGCGTGTTGTCAAAGCTCTTTTCTACCGCTACAGCCATATCTCAATCTGATTAAGGCGTGTCACCCTGCGAAATGAGTGCAGCACCGCGCTTGAGACGATTTCGCAGCATAACGCGCTTCCACACAACGCTTTGCGATATCTAAGCGGAGTATTTTTATCCACCCGAACCGTCTATCAGTGCGTGGTGCGACTGTCATTTCCGTGACAGGGGCGGTATTCAATCCTTCCCCCAGGGGGATATATCCCCCTCTCTGATTCAATCCTCTCAATCCTCTGGGGGACAAAAAAGGGTTGCGTCATAGGACCTCGCATACCTCTGTGTTTCTACCTGCCAGACAGAGCACCGCTACTACCCCTCCACTGATGAACACTCTTTCCCCTCATTGACATGGTCGAAGAATCATGGATGACCCCTGTGCTTTTGTATGAGTTGCTTTTTCTTCATTTTTGCGTGATGATGTCCTTTTCCAACGGTGCCATTAAGGCGGTGTGTTTTCCAAGCGAGATGAAGACGGTAGCTGGAGCTGAGGTTCTGCCAAATCGCTGTTTTCAAAACTGAAGAAGTTGCTCGAAGTTGTTCATTGAACCTGAGAACCGATAAAGTCTCTTTCAGTCATCTATGGCAGATTCCGATGATGATGTTCCCGCGCTTCCACCTGATACACTTGAAATATTACGGCAGTTTCAAGATGAACAACAGAAAATCGCTGATGGTGTGGAAGTTGTGACAGAAGATTGGCAGGCATGTTCTTAAAATCGCTATTTTCTCTATGTTTAGGGACTTCTTTCTTAAGAATGATGGTCATGTCCTTTTAAGCTCAGTCAGTTCTGGTACTCTCCTGAAACTTGCGCGCACTGTGTGGAGGCGTTTAGTTTCATGCGTGGAGGAAAGGACGTATTGCGTGTATATCATGTCCTACACTAATCCAGTACTTCTCGGAAATCGAGGTTTCTTCTCACTCCGTTTTCCGAAGTAGTTTGTCTTCTTTGCAAAGATGTTCAAGCCAGTATGAATCCAGATACGTACAGCGTCCACTTATTCGAGTATGAGATGCACTTTCCGAAAGAAATTCCTTCGATAATACCCTATGACTATCGACATCCACTTGCTATTCCTGAGGAGCTCAAAGGTAATTCATGACCGTGTTAGTCATGGCCTTTCCAGCGTCAGGATAGTAAGCCTGACTTTTAAGGAATATACGATGTTGTGATTGCCGATCCCCCATTTCTTGCTGATGAATGCTTGTTGAAAACTGCGCAGACCGTCCGACTTCTCGCAAAACCAAGTGCAAGGATTCTCCTCTGCACGGGAACAATCATGGAAGACAGGGTATGACATGTCTGTAAATTACTATGCTTATTATCCCTTTTCTACCCATCTTGACACTAGCTTACACACAGGTTATGTTGTACCAAACAGTATTTTTTTTAAATATAAGACGATGGTATCTAGACCAATAATCGGATCCAGTTAAAGGCAGACTTAGTCACTGTGTGAGACAAGTTCATATAAATAAAGATGGATTTGGTCGGTTAGTGGTACTATACAGTAGACATGCAAGACAATTTTTCGCCACTGGTGTGCTAGAAGACAGCCAAACTATTTCCGCTGGGCCGTTATTGCCTGTATACTGTGTATACACCCATAAATGCACTGTTATAAGTGCAAAGTTGGCTAAAGAATGCGAGTTCAACTATTTTTCTAATTACTCGATATGTTCGCGGTCAGTATAAACCATGGAACTTTGAGTATGCTTTCAGGCACCTCATTTCTTTTATTCTTTGCTTCACACATCTGCTTGTCCGATTAGTTATTGTTCAATTAGTAATTGACAGGAGAAGCGGTTGTTTTCCGGGTGAAGCGGCATATTGAACAGGAGCGAAGATGGGATCAAAGGGTGTGTGTAGACATCAGAAGGCTGACATTTGTCAGATTAGTTATCCAATCTATCCTTGCCGCTGTTTAATGTCGCATCAATCTCCTCTGCGCTTGACTTTGTTACGCCTCCCTTCCTCCGAGAGTTAAACGCTGGCTCCTCCACGACTCTTGTAACTTATTTTATCAAGTAGCAGTGGGTATTTTTATCGCTAGTTGCTATTTTACCTTGAGCTCATCATGTCCTCGGCTCATTACGTCTGAACAAACTTCAGCATTGTACTCCTCTGGTAGTTCCCAGAAACTCTATTATAATGGAGAAGCCATTTCATGTGAAACTCTGTTGTGAAATATAATATTGCGCATGTGGGAAAGTTGCGCTTAAGTCGTTCCAAGGGACTGCGTATCATTTCAATTTCAGGCGAAACACGATTACTCGGTCTCATCGCTTGGAATACGAGCCGTGCCATGCAAATAATCTGTCGAATGAGTTTTCGTGCTTTGCTAATTACGAAACAAAATATTTATGACATAAATAGATTTGTGTATATACCTGAGGCTTTGATATAATTGTTCTTGTTGAATGTTGAATTGTTGCCTTCGTTTTGCTAGCTAATGGATCTTGTTTCTCATTATTTGCCCTGTTATGTTTTTGTCTGTTATTTTAGAAAATTTACGAATGTGAATAGATGTCATATTATTATATTATTCAAGGAAATGTAAGGATTTTGTTTCTAATAAAGCTGTTAATGTGATAGACTCATGTTTGGGTGAAAGTTGTGGTTTGAATCCGCATTCTATTGCATTTGTAAGAGCACGTATTTGAAGTTTTTTACGCAATTTTTTCTGTAATACAGCTACGCCTATGTCTTTTTCAGATTTGACACTAATGTAAAGGATTAAGACAACCAAACTATTTCCGCTTGGCCATTATTGCCTGTATACCGTGTATACACCCAATTTTTTAAACTATATTGTTGGTTGGCCTCTTCTAATTCGATAATTCATGGCACCTGCTGGTCAGGGTCTCACTTGGTCAGATGTCCTGTGTTGTATTGTATGTAACCAGGTGAGTTCTTGTTCATTTGGTGCCTTATAGGTTTCATGTAGGTGTTCTAGCTTTTTGATCATCATCGGGCGCCAGTAAATCTGACGTGTGGGCATGTCGTCTGTGTGCGATGCATTGGGAAATTATATGGTAATGCGTGTCCTGAAGACAGGTTTGTGTATGGCTTGATCCTTACAACATCTGCATATTCTTCACTGTTTACGTTTTTAGTGTGAGGGTAAGTATCCTGTTGCGAGCTATCCCGTTAATGCTGCGCTTTTATCAATCGTAACAGATGACGTTGAAGAATACTTGCCACTCTGGGATATAGAAAAGTTCCTAAGGTATCGTACAAGAGTTTTCTTCTTTTGATTTATTGTTCTGACTCTGAGTGTTGAGCCGATCATCACTTAATCATTAATATGCTAGGAAGTTTTGTCATTAATCGAGAATGCTCTGGTGTCGATGGCTCAATATCTTCACCGCGCTGAATCGGAAAGAGGGGGAACTGTCTTCAGTGAGGTGTGAAATTATTCCTAATTAGGCGGAATCGCTTCCACGGAAATGACGGGTAATTTTAGTGTAACATTTTTTGTTGCAGATTCTATCACGAACTATGCAACGCAAAGCTAGTATTCGCTTCCTCTGTATCAGCTGGTGGAAGAGGAAGGCCGTTTGCGAGCGTTGAAAACCTCAAGGTTGATAGCTGAACGAATAATGACAGAGGTTTGACATTGGCTATCACTGAAAATAATACTTAGGAACTAGAGTGTCGATTTCTTAACGTTTCATATATTATAAACGCTACTGCATCTTTAAAATCAAAGTTTAAGCTGCTTGATTTCTCTCTTTTTTGGCAAAATCAAAAATCTCTCGCATACTTCAGGTGATCTGACTTTATATAGCCATCTCATCCTCCCCTTTTTCTTCTAACTTGCTCTTGATCAAACGTACAGTTGGTCGTGGTTAAAGCCATGTTGAATACTTTGAGACGATAGATAGTTCTTGTGAACTACTTTCGTAAAAGGGAAGGAAGGGCTCTCGTTTTTTTTGCTCTATCACCTTCGGCGTCACCTCTCAGAAACCCTTGTCAAAACGTTACTGGTCAAGATAGTCTTTACCATGCTTTGGCTTCTTTCTGATTGTCGTCTTTATGAACTTATTTGCTCCAGCCTGAAGAGGGTTAATTAACACCGTGACATTTCTCTTTTTATCATTGCATATATCTATAAATGCTTGCTACCTAATTTTTCCTTTTTAGCTTCTGCTGATTCAACAGAACTCAGGTAGCCTTAGTACACACTTATGGACTGCTGTTCGAGCGCGCGGCTGTCAGTTCCTTGGACCTGGTACGTTTTCTGCTCACACTAATATCCAGCTCGATGAGCAATCAACAGGTTTCTGTGCGCATCTATTTCGTTTCTATATCATTACATTGAATACTTGTATTTTTCATCAAATTCTAGAGCATAAATTTGATGCTTTCAATGTAACAGTGTGGGAATAACTCATACCGATCTCGCCTATTTCTTTTTGCAGTTCCCAGTTTTGATCTGCTTTGCCCTTATAATCTGCGCCGGTTGCTCATGCTTTGTTTTCCTTCATTTCTCTCGTGTACCACCCATTGCTTTCAAATACAGTCACAGTTTATCTTTATCTGCAACATTAAAACACGCAAAGCTTCAGAATTTGCAAAATAATCTAGTTAAGTGAGGCCGAACTGATGCACGAAAAGCCGTTTTACTCGGTACTTGTGACTTCTTCTGCAAGCTTTATATTCATTTGCTTCTTTCTGTTTCTCCCATCAATTTCTGGATTTATTCAACGCTATGTGCAGGACTTGTAATTTGAAGAAGTGAGATCTTATTTAGGTAGCTGACCGGAGTGCCGTAGCAGAAAACCGACGATGTGTGGAAGCGATGGAGACGGACGTCACGTTGGATGGACAGAGAGCATTCATTCAACTCCGACGAACTCTCGACGATGTTCGTTGGCGAGGTGAAGATATCTCGGTCCTCGAACGTGTAGTTGTGAGACCACCATACACACCAGAAAGTGCAGTAGCAGTGCAGGTTTGAATTCTCGACATCACTGGTTAAAAGTTTTTGTTCCACTATTGGCACATAGTGCACGTTGGTCACATTCTTTTTTATTTCACACCCATCACATCTCCTCCTATTTTCAAGTTAAGGTGGAGAGAAGGAATGCATATATGATTTTAAAGTTTGACGTGCTATTGGTGGGTAAACTTTCTTCTTCTCTACAACAGTTCGGGCATAAGGTTGTCGGCAGGTGAACTGAGACCAGGATCTGGCATGCACAATATCGAGTTTTAAGAGCTAATCTTCTTCAACTTCTCACCCCAGGGAGTACCCGTTTCCCTATTTGCTGCAAGTGGCCTAGTCTACGACATTAGACGAACTAATTAGTTTGATGTGAAGTAAAACCGTCATTGAACGCAAATTGCACAGAGCGCACGCCGTAGTATAAATGGCTTCCCCCTTTGGAGTCCCTGTCGAAATTGTGTCTCCTGCCTAAGATTTGTACCTCCTTCCCAGTTTCAACTTCATGATGTACACATGACCTCGTTTGAATTGTCAGGCGAACCACTGCAATACATAGAATATGACGAAACATTAACGAAGACTGCGAACAAAAGGCGCGGCTTGTTGTTCGTTTGGCTCGGCCTACGCTGTATAACCCAACAGCTCATTATTGCTTGTGGTAATAGTTTTATCGCAAGAAGGTATTCATTATTGTTCTCACTTAATAGCGTTTGGCATCGCTGGCCTGTAACCATGTTTGCTTTTACTCATTGTTGTTTTGAAAATATTGCGTGTGCTTGTTGCCCACTGTTCAAGTTAACCTGAAGAAAAGTTCATGCCCAATACAGCAGTTTTTTTTTCAGACGAAGGAGCAGATTTCATCCACCAGCATGTCAAAATTTGAAGTTAGCATTCAACTAAAATCATTCAATGGCGAATTGTATCACATTTTGCTATTTTCAGGAAGGTGACTCGCAATCCCAATCGGCACTTATGCACGTTCGCAAAATATTATCGAAGCCCTTCATTCCCGAGCAGAAGCTGACGGCGTGCTGTGTGGCTCCTGAAGGCAATGGTGGCCTTTAGATAGTGTCGCCTGTGAGATCATAGGAGGCGTCAAATTGCATTCATTAGATATGTCATTTTCATCAAAGTCAATTTCATATTCTCGTTCACGTGTAATACCTACGTGCCACTGATGATTGTGAGGTAGGGTGCGTCTAAGGTTGAAACAAATCAAGAATTACAGTAATTTCTCTTTCTTTTGTGCATACTCATTTAGGTTGTAGCAGATAGATGTAACTATGCTTGAACCTGGCGATAGAATTCCACCTCCACTCATCTCTTCATCCACCCAAGTCTTTTCGCCTACTTTGTTGTCGCTTGATGCTACTTTGATAGGCTGTCGTGGTTTGGCGAGATAAATCGTGGTTATAGGCTCCGATGCCTTCGTTGCCCTGAGTAAGTGGATTAGTTATAATGTGCGCATCAGTGCAGCCCTTCTGTACCCACTGCTGTTCTCTTTTAACAAATTCTGTAATATTGTTTATGAGGGCACTGTTCAACGTTTTTCATTTTGATGAGAGGTCGGTTGCGGCTGTCTCAACAACGTTGCGATGGCTGATAGATTTGATGGTTATAGGCATTCATGATGATTCCTTTTCATCCTCGTTCTTCCTCTGTCATCCAGCACGCACTTCACGAACGTCAGTACCTGATGTGTTGTCCTTTCTAATAAGACTTTTCTATTGGTGATTATATCGTAGAAAATTTTAGTTTAAATGATTTCTCCTTCACGTGTGTTTGTTTGCTAGATCCTGGTTTCGACCATGTTTTATCTTATTTCCACTTTTATGGGAGGTAATATTTCGAAGCCTGTTCGCAGTGATACAGCCACATGGTGGCGCGCGACATGTTCGCGTTCTCTCAGCGGAAAGCTGTAAGCTTGCACATCCCAACTTTTCGCGTTTTCAGGTGGTTCGTCTCGCTTTCCCACCGCACCCCTGAATTGGCTACACTTCCCCTATCTCACGGATTAGTGTTTAAGGAGGTCACTTGTCCATTGTACTCTGCAACTCTATAGCGATGGATATACCTAGCGCTAAAATAGGAGGGCGCTATCGCAAGAGAATCCTCTAGGAGCAAGCTAGGAAGGGCAGGAATTTCGGGTAAAGGGAAACGCTCGCAAACCCTAGACTCCTCATCGCCTGAGGAGTAATCCCGATTTCAACAAGAGGATATGTTTTTGTAGTCTTCAAATCATTGCACCACATGCCCTATCTTGCCTGATAAGCTTCCGATGTAGAGTTTTGATAACACACTCGTTTGGAATGCTTCCTGTTCTTTATAAGGATCGGTAAAGTCTATAAGCGCGGATGTGGTCGGTCGCTAGGACAGGTGGCGACTTCTCCGCTCTCTACAGCGCGAGCTCTTTTTTTCGCTTCTAGAACCCCACGGGCCATATCTTAACTTTTCCCGCAGGCTATGGGGAACAAAATCTCTTTGAATTTTTCTCTATCTTCTCATCAAAAACAGCCATGATGATGTGAATTTTTGTAATCTGTATACATGTGTAAAAACAAGTATGCCCGGAAAATAAAAGATCTGGGCTTCCGAAAACATGAATTCAAAGAGCTCTTTCGTTTTCCATTTCCTTGCGCTCTTCCACTGCTCAATATCCCTCCCCCTTCCAAAACATGGAGCGCTTTTTCGAAACGGTTTTGTGCATGTTGTATGGGGCTCATGCGAGGAATACAGCCGTAGTCCTTTTCCTGAACATCCCCAGGAATGTCAAAAAGTGGTTAAGAAACGGCTCAAAATTCGATACTCGGTGATGAATAGTTTTCGTAATACAATAGTTGGTGACCTCCATTGCGCCAAATGGCGCCATCGTCGAGAATAGATGCAATTGCCGTGTTTTGCGGCGATGGAGGCGCCAACATAAATTGCAAAAATTTATCATCACGGTGCATCAAACTTTGGACTATTCCCCGCTGTTTCGGGCATTCAGGAAAAATGGATCATTGTTCTATATTCCTCACATGAGCTTCTACAACATTTAAAAAACCATTTTGTAGAGCGCTCCATGTCCTGAAAGACCGCCTTGTTAGATCTAAGAAAGAATATCCGCCCTTGGCTTGGGATCGCTTGTCGCTCCATTCTAGGCTGATTCAGCCGGTTTTTATTTAAAATGGTCTTGGAATGTGTTGTCAAAACTCTTTTCTACAGCTACAGCCCACATCTCGAAGTCTGATTAGGCGTGTCACCGGAAATGACGTGGCAGGCACCGCACTTGATAGAAGTTGCGCAGATAAGCTGCTTCCAACACGCTTTGCTGATATCTGGCGGAGTATTTTATCCACACAACATCTATCAAGTGCGGTGGCCGCCACGTCATTTCCGGTGACACGCCCAATCAGATTTACGGGCATTGACGAAATATTATCGTCAGAGGAAGGAGCGAAACGACATTATTCAATTATTGTCCATTTATATATGGTTTTTCTTTTCAATTCGTGAATGAATTGTTTATGAATTTATATTGACGCTTTTCTCCTGATCCTTACCATTAGCATTAGACCGCGGTCATAGTTCGCAAGGGGGATTAAGATAGAAGGCGATAGAATATCAGGACAGCAGTGAAGTAGGAGGGGATATTGCGTTGCAAGGACTTTGTCCTATAGCATACATTATACGAAGTTATACGATTTCAGTAGTTGCGTATCTAATCCTGTCAGCGCAGCATCCTAAACTCCCGCTCAATTCATATCTTTTTCATTGTCGTGCACTATCAATCCCCGAGGTCGCGAACTGTGAAGCGGCTTTGGGAGCACAACACTATGGAGTGACTGCCTCAATCATTTTCGGCCGCGCGAGTGCTGGTGAAACAAAGCTTATTTGTTAGCACTGGATTTTCCTCTAGGGACTCGAAGAACTTCTGCCTTTTAACCATGGTAGCAAACTGTCTTTGGGGCTCAGAATTTTTTTTATTTCACACTAAGCTCTGTGGCAATTGCTCTATAAATTGGTGGGAATATGGTTACACATTCTTGAATTTACTGAAAAATATTGAGATGGATTCATAGCTGCTCGTTATTTAACTTAATCACAGATGCGCCACATTTCGTAACATCATGTTGAATGTTGTTGTTCTTCCGTCGAGAAAATGATTTTTATATGTTCGTACACCACGCATCCTTCGTCCTATCCGTTTGAGTCGAAGGAAATGAAGTGTAAGGTGCTGTTTGACATGGTCGAAGAATCATGAATGACCTCTGTGCTTTTGTATGAGTTGCTTTTTCTTCATTTTTGCGGTTGATGATTGTCCTTTCCAACGGGGGCGGGCGCGCGGGGCGCCGGGCGGCGCGGGCGGGCGGCGGCGGGGCCGGGGGCCAGGCAGGTCGGGCCGCGGGGCCGCGGGAGGGCGGGCGCGGGCGGGGCCGCCCCGGCGGCGGCCGGCAGAGCCAGCCGGGGGGCGGGCGGCGCGAGCGCCCGGGCGCGGGCGCCGCGCCACGGCCGGCGGGCGCGGGCGGGGCGGCGCGGAGGCGGGCCGCGGCGGCGGCGCGGGGGGGCGGGGGGCACGGCGCGCGCTGCCATTAAGGCGGTGTGTTTTCCACGCGAGATGAAGACGGTAGCTGGAGCTGAGGTTCCGGCGTCTCGCCAAATCGCTGTTTTCAAAACTGAAGGAAGTTGCTCGAAGTTGTTCATTGAAGCTCTGAGAACGATGAAGTCTCTTTCAGTCATCTATGACAGATTCCGATGATGATGTTCCCACGCTTCCACCTGATACACTTGAAATATTACGGCAGTTTCAAGATGAACAACAGAAAATCGCTGATGGTGTGGAAGTTGTGACAGAAGATTGGCAGGCATGTTCTTAAAATCGCTATTTTCTCTGATTATGTTTAGGGACTTCTTTCTTAAGGAATGATGGTCATGTCCTTTTTAGCTCAGTCAGTTCTGGTACTCTCCTGAAACTGCGCGACAACTGTGTCGTGAGGTAGTTCATGCAGTTGGAGGAAAAGGACGTATTGCGTGTATATCATGTCCTACACTAATCCAGTACTTCTCGGAAATCGAGGTTTCTTCTCACTCCGTTTTCCGAAGTAGTTTGTCTTCTTTGCAAAGATTGTTTCAGCAATATGATCCAGATAGTATCAGCGTCTCCTTATTTGAGTATGATGCACGTTTCGGAAAGAAGTTTCCTTCGGAATATATACCCTATGACTATCGACATCCACTTGCTATTCCTGAGGAGCTCAAAGGTAATTCATGACCGTGTTAGTCATGGCCTTTCCAGCGTCAGGATAGTAAGCCTGACTTTTAAGGAATATACGATGTTGTGATTGCCGATCCCCCATTTCTTGCTGATGAATGCTTGTTGAAAACTGCGCAGACCGTCCGACTTCTCGCAAAACCAAGTGCAAGGATTCTCCTCTGCACGGGAACAATCATGGAAGACAGGGTATGACATGTCTGTAAATTACTATGCTTATTATCCCTTTTCTACCCATCTTGACACTAGCTTACACACAGGTTATGTTGTACCAAACAGTATTTTTTTTAAATATAAGACGATGGTATCTAGACTAATAATCGGATCAAGTTAAAGGCAGACTTAGTCACTGTGTGAGACAAGTTCATATAAATAAAGATGGATTTGGGCGGTTTAGTGGGTACTTGATACAGTAGACATGCAAGACAATTTTTCGCCACTGGTGTGCTAGAAGACAGCCAAACTATTTCCGCTGGGCCGTTATTGCCTGTATACTGTGTATACACCCATAAATGCACTGTAAAAGTGCAAAGTGTGGCTTGACAGAATTTGAGAGTTTCAACTAATTTTTTCTATTACTCGATAGTGTTTTCGGGGCAGGATAAACATGGAATTTTTGAATATGTCTTTTAGTGCACCTCATTCTTGTATTCTTTGCTTCACACATCTGCTTGTCTGATTTATTATCGTTATTAGTAATTGACAGGAGAAGCGGTTGTTTTCCGGGTGAAGCGGCATATTGAACAGGAGCTAAGATGGGATCAAGGGTGTGTGTAGACATCAGAAGGCTGACATTTGTCAGATTAGTTATCCAATCTATCCTTGCCGCTGTTTAATGTCGCATCAATCTCCTCTGCGCTTGACTTTGTTACGCCTCCCTTCCTCCGAGAGTTAAACGCTGGCTCCTCCACGACTCTTGTAACTTATTTTATCAAGTAGCAGTGGGTATTTTTTATCGCTAGTTGCTATTTTACCTTGAGCTCATCATGTCCTCGGCTCATTACGTCTGAACAAACTTCAGCATTGTACTCCTCTGGTAGTTCCCAGAAACTCTATTATAATGGAGAAGCCATTTCATGTGAAACTCTGTTGTGAAATATAATATTGCGCATGTGGGAAAGTTGCGCTTAAGTCGTTCCAAGGGACTGCGTAGTTTCAATTTCAGGCGAAACGATTACTCGGCCTTCATCGCTTGGAATACGAGCCGTGCCATGCAAATAATCTGTCGAATGAGTTTTCGTGCTTTGCTAATTACGAAACAAAGTATTTATGACATCAAATAGATTTGTGTATATACCTGAGGCTTTGATATAATTGTTCTTGTTGAATGTTGAATTGTTGCCTTCGTTTTGCTAGCTAATGGATCTTGTTTCTCATTATTTGCCCTGTTATGTTTTTGTCTGTTATTTTAGAAAATTTACGAATGTGAATAGATGTCATATTATATTATTCAAGAAAATGTAAGGATTTTGTTTCTAATAAAGCTGGTAATGTGATAGACTCATGTTCGGGTGAAGTTGTGGTTTGAATCCGCATTCTATTGCATTTGTAAGAGCACGTATTTGAAGTTTTTGACTCAATTTTTTCTGTGATACAGCTACGCCTATGTCTTTTTCAGATTTGACACTAATGTAAAGGATTAAGACAACCAAACTATTTCCGCTTGGCCATTATTGCCTGTATACCGTGTATACACCCAATTTTTTAAACTAATATTGTTGGTTGGTCCTCTTTCTAAATCGATAATTCATGCACTTGCTGGTCAGGGTCTCACTTGGTGCAGTAATTCTCTGTTTATTGGTATATACAGTTGAGTGTTTGTTGTTCATTTGTGGCTTCTTTATAGGTTATTATGTAGGTGTTCTAGCTTTTTGATCATCATCGGGCGCCAGTAAATCTGACGTGTGGGCATGCCGTCTGTGTGCGATGCATTGGGAAATTATATGGTAATGCGTGTCCTGAAGATCCAGGTTTGTGTATGGCTTGATCCTTACAACATCTGCATATTCTTCACTGTTTACGTTTTAGTGTGAGGGTAAGTATCCTGTTGCGAGCTATCCCGTTAATGCTGCGCTTTTATCAATCGTAACAGATGACGTTGAAGAATACTTGCCACTCTGGGATATAGAAAAAGTTCCTAAGGTATCGTACAAGAGTTTTCTTCTTTTGATTTATTCTGACTCTGAGTGTTGAGCCGATCATCACTTAATCATTAATTTGCTAGGAAGTTTTGTCATTAATCGAGAATGCTCTGGTGTCGATGGCTCAATATCTTCACCGCGCTGAATCGGAAAGAGGGGGAACTGTCTTCAGTGAGGTGTGAAATTATACCTAATTAGGCGAATTGCTTCCACGAAATGACGGGTAATTTTAGTGTAACATTTTTTGTTGCAGATTTTATCACGAACTATGCAACGCAAGCTAGTATCGCTTCTCTGTTATCAGCTAGTGGAGGAGGAGGGTCGTTTGCGAGCGTTGAACTTCAGGTTTATAGCCTGAAACGAAAAAATGAACAGAAGGTTTGACATTGGTTATCACTGAAATAATACTTAGGAACTAAGTGAGTGTCTGATTTCTTAACGTTTCTAATCAACACCGTGACATTTCTCTTTTTATCACTGCATATATCTATAAATGCTTGCTACCTAATTTTTCCTTTTTAGCTTCTGCTGATTCAACAGAACTCAGGTAGCCTTAGTACACACTTATGGACTGCTGTCGAGCGCGGCGTCTGTCAGTTCCTTGGACCTGGTACGTTTTTTGCTCATAGTATTATCCATCTTTTTTCGCTTTTTGCATGTCAAATGTTTCAGCTATGCAGGAGGACGTGCTTAAACTATATTCTTCATCGCTCTCGATTAAGGTGTGATTGCTCGAAAAACATGGTCATGTATCGGGGTGCAAATGCTGTCGGAAGACTACCCTCAGGTGTGTTTAGCAATAATTTGTAATTATTTTCAAAATTTCCTTCCAAGTTCTGAATTTGTTTTGCTCATGATAGGTTTCAAAACGTGTGTTTCAAAAACGTGTGTTGGACATGTTGTGCAGCTTCTCTATCGAGCATCATGCTTCAACGTTATGAAACGTGATGGAGAATCCTCTTTGATGCAGCTGAAAGACGAATTCCGAAATTACGAAGCGCTTCGAAAAGAACATGATGCACAGATTGTGCAGGTATGTGTCATTGTGTGGTGCCTCTTATGCATGCTCAATTTTTTTCATGGGTTGTTTTTCATTGTGAGGTGAGTCTAGCAACTTCTAGAGTGAGGGTGTTTTTTGTTACAAAATGAAAACTGGCGCATTAATGGGTAAAGCTTCATGCTATGAATCATGGAATTCCGCGAGTGCTTCACGAAATGAAGCACTCGCGCTATTCCATGATTTGTCATCACATGTTCACTGCGTCTCCAATGTTGTCCCATCAACTACTGCCCACACAGTAGTACTCGATGTCGCACACATTGATTTTGGAACGACTCATACAGCAACAATCCCCTGACTCGATCCCCCGAAAAATTTCGGTGCCACGTATGCTTTATCCATCCATAATTCTGCAGTTATGACATGCCTTGTGCGGGAAGCAGAGCCTAATCCTGTGTGGAAGAGAAGGCTTCTGATATTGCTCATTAAAGTTGCTATGAAGTTTTCCATCATTTTCAATTTTTATAAAGAACTGAATATTATAAGAAGAAAGCCAATGAGATCTACAGCAACAATCCCCTACTCGATTCCCGAAAGAATTTCGGTGTCATGTGTGCTTCCATGTTTCTATCCATCCATAAGTTCGCAATAATGACCATGACATTTGGTGGCCAACGGTACTTTATTTATTCATTAGTGGTCACGCGAATGCACATACCACAACGCAGTGACAAAAAACACCAGCTAAGAGCTGGTTACTGACTTCAAACAAGTACCTCTCGTTTCTTGAAGGTGACGTATTTTAACACATTGCGTATCGCGTGCGCCATTTCAAGCGAAAAATCATAGTTTCATCCGATTTGATATTTTTCAATGCTTCTGAAGTGTTTGCACTCATTTTCAGAGCCAGGAAACAATAAGTATGATCACTGATAAGTGTTGATTAATAATGATTCATCTCCTAAAAACATAAAAAAAGGTGTGGAGGTCCTCGTATAACGGCGGTCCGCAAAGTGTTAGAGAGAATTGGTGCGTAAAACACAATTAAACAATAAAGCACTCGGTCACTAAAGTGTTAGGTTTTGTTGCCGCTGTGAACCGATTAGTAGCTATTCCTGTTGAGACATAGATATCTGGCTGTTAGGTGATATCAAAATAGCGATATCAACTACGTTATCAAATGGTATTATCAGCCGTGCCCCGCCCCTCTAGCACGTGTTTATACGAGTGATTTGAGTCAGTACCTTCTGCTTCAAAAAACTTGTAGGAAACGCAATAGTGGGCGCGGTACGCCGCGAATTTTTG